GAGATGGCTGAGTGGTTAAGAGCACTGACTGCTCTTCTAAAGGTCCTGAGTTCAATTCCCAGCAACCACATGCTGGCTCAGAACCATCTGTAATGGAATCTAGTGCCCTCTTCTGGTGTGTCTGAAGAGAATGACAGTGTACTCATATATAAAATAAATAAATCTTTTTAAAAAACAAAAACCAAAACAAAACAAAACCAAATACAGACACATGGACTCCATGGTGAATGATTGGAGAGAGGAGTGTGTCGTGGAGGATCAGGCTTGGTAACAGGCGAGTCAGTTGTGTCATCTACATGCTCCCTATGTGTGTTTGTGTTTCAGAGAAAGCGGAACCATTGGCCAGCTTGAATGCTAACCCTCCAAACAGTGATCTAGGAGCCTTGGCCCCCACCCCGTCAGCACCACCTCCTACCCTGGCCTTGGTGTCTAGACAGATGGGTGACTCAAAACCCCCACAGGCCATTGTGAAGCCCCAGATTCTCACACACGTCATCGAAGGCTTTGTGATCCAGGAAGGAGCAGAGCCTTTCCCGGTGAGGGCAGGGCCTGCCTGCAAGTGGGACTGGGAAGGGGAAGTGACCTTTTTTTTTAGCTCACATTCCTCTAAAAGAAGGAAAGTGCAGAACTATCTCATCATTAGAGAATGGTTCATTACGCTGCTTGCTTAGTTAGAGGGTGAGGGACACAAGGGGAGTTTGTGGGCCAGAGAGAGAAAATACTGAGAACAGAAGAAAAGGTGGCTTTTAAAGCTATAGTGTGGGCTGGTGAGATGGCTCAGTGGTTAGAACACTGACTGTTCTTCTGGAGGTCATGAGTTCAAATCACAGCAACCACATGGTGGCTCACAACCATCTGTAATGAGATTTGATGCCCTCTTATGGGTGTCTGAAGACAGCTACAATGTACTTCCATATAATAAATAAATTAAAAAAAAACTATAGTGTTTGGTTGAGTGCATTAGGTCGCTTTGTAATGAAGGAAACTAGGAGCAAAACCCAGTGATCTTGACTCTTGCATTCATTGCAGCTTTGTGGAGGAAAGGTCATGATATGGGGGAGTAAATGTAGGAACCCAATTCTCCAGTGACTTAGATGGAAAAAGCCAGCTAGAGGCCCTTGTCTGCCATCTTGAAAGGTCCTGGGGCTGGAGAGATGCCTCAGGAGTTAAATGAATATATTGTTCTTTCAGAGGACCTGAGTTGCGTTCCTAGTACCCATGTCACCAATTGTACCAACTCTAGCACTTGAGTATCTGACTTTGGTTATGTGCCTGCACACCTGGCTAGGCATGGCACATACTTTTAATTTGATCCCTTAGGTGGCAGAAGAGCAAGACAGATCTCTGAATTCAAGGCCAGCCTGGTCTACATAGCAACTTCCAGGATATCTAGGGCCATATAATTAGACTGTACCTCAGCCCCCGCCCCCCTACCCACACCTCCTTCTCAAACAAAGCAAAGCAAAACAAAACCAAACAAAAACCTTAAGAAAATAACGAATGCGATTCCCTCAGAGGGATATTTGGCATCACCTCAGAGCTCATCCCAGCAGGGACAAGGAGACTATGAAAGGCTACAGAGGGCAGAAAGGGATTAGGCTGCCTTAACTGCTCTTTCTCTGGGACAGGTGGGATGTTCTCAGTTCCTGAAAGAAACCGAGAAGCCACTGCAGGCTGGCCTTCCGACAGGGCTGAATGAGAGTCAGTCAAGTGGCCCTTTGGGAGGAGACAGCCCCTCTGTAGGTAAGCACTGGATGCCATGGAGATGCTTGATGGATGTGGGGATCGAGCCCAGGGTGTAGCACATACTGTGCAAAAGTTCTCCACGTGAGCAGCATCCCTAGATTTCATCCTTTAGAGACAAGGTCTCATCACACAGCCCAGACTCAGGGTTAGCTTTAACTTCAGACCCTCCTAAGTCTGGAGATTATACGCATGGGGCACCACACCCACTACCCACACTTCCACACGTACCCAGTCAGTCCTTGTTTACTTAAAGGAAGAATTTAAGTAAGGTCTGTCTGTGCATAGATGTGTTCTGCTGAGTATGTGGAACCATACAAAAGAACTATAAGGGAACTTTACCAAGTAAAAGGATTGGGCTTATTTTATGCCATTTAAGGATATATTCACCTTCTTGTCTCCATTTCCTATGTGCTGGGATTATAGGCCTGTACTCACATATCAGTCCATATACTTCTTGAGTCAAACCTTTAGGCTGTTTGGTATTAGGGATTTTCAGTTACACTGTGTAGGTCTTTGCAGAAAACCCTGAAGAAAATTAGTACTTAGGCTATGGACCTAATAAATGAGAGGCAGCAGAAACCTGTGGTAAGTCAAGAATTCCTTGTTTTTCAGAGTTAGATAAGAAGGCAAATCTCCTGAAGTGTGAGTACTGTGGGAAGTACGCCCCAGCAGAACAGTTTCGAGGCTCTAAGAGGTTCTGCTCCATGACATGTGCAAAGAGGTACTGTGGCCACCAGCCGGCTCACCCTCATGGGGTTTCCCACTGAATGCTGTCCCTTCTCATAGCCGATATTTTATATATCCCTTTTTGCTTTTCCTTCTGTTCCTCAAGTTAGTATGTCATTTCCACAGCACTGTGACAGCAATCTTGTATGTCCCTCATCTGTAGGTACAATGTGAGCTGTAGCCACCAGTTCCGTTTGAAGAGGAAAAAAATGAAAGAGTTTCAGGAAGCCAGCTATGCACGCGTCCGGAGGCGTGGGCCTCGCCGCAGCTCCTCTGACATTGCTCGTGCTAAGATCCAGGGCAAGCGCCATCGGGTGAGCTGCTATTGCAGAGCCGGCTAGCATGTAAAATGCCCCCTCCCCCGGAGTTCCTTCCCTGAGGTAAAAGCCCTGGACACAGAACTCTCAGAACTCAAGATTGACAGTGACTTTATTGATCCATATAGTAAACGACTGTCCTGTCTCCCTTCACCTGACTACAAGTGTGTGTATCCACCAGTCCTTTACTACACTTGAAATAATTTAGGGCACACTCAGCGAGTTCACACTTGAACGGTGCTTTAGAGTAGTTGTGTATCTGCAAGTGAAGTACAGCTGTAGTTGACCTGTTGAGACAAAGCTTTCCTGTAGCCTGCTGTAGTTGGGGAGAGAAGGAATTCACGGTGCTGTTCTCACTGGCCTCACTGTTTTGCTATCTCCTCTCAAGGGTCAAGAGGACTCTAGCCGGGGCTCAGATAATTCCAGCTATGATGAAGCACTCTCCCCAACATCTCCTGGGCCACTGCCAGTAAGAGCCGGGCATGGAGAACGTGATCTAGGAAGCACCATTCCAGCCCCATCCACACCAGAGTTACAGGGCATCAGTCCTGTGTTCTTGTCCAGTAATCCTAGCCAATGGAGCGTCGAGGAGGTCTACGAGTTTATTGCTTCTCTGCAAGGTACTGGGGGTGATGGTGGCCCTTCCGCAGAACCAGGTCTACATTTTCCCTAGGTCATCCCACCAGGCTGACTTAGAAGCTGCTGGACTGTCTGGCAGTTTCTTAGTCCTGTAGTGTGGCTTACAATTACCTCCTCGGCTGACACCATTGATCAGTGTCCACAGTTCTTTGGTATTTGTTTTTACTTTGAATTAACCATATTTCTCACTTGGAGTTTTTGGATGATGTCTCTATTTGGTATGAGTCCAGGAGTCCATTAGGAAAGACCTCTGACTTTGTCCAAGGCAGGACTGTCCCCATTAAACACCATCGCTCTTTGGTATTTGTCCCTCTGAGAAAAGGCTGGAAAAGTTATCTTTTTACTAGTGTTAAAGAAACCATGCGTATAGTTTTTATCTCTTTGAGTTTTGAGGTTCTTTCCTTGATGAACTTGGTACTTGCTTGATGCTGTATGGAGTAGCCGGAGCTCTGATCTCACTTGCTCTCAGAGCTTGCCTCAGACCTTCCTACTACTGAGCTGAGGACAGTGTTTTGGATAGCCATCACTAGGCCTGTTTGAGTTTCCGTCTTCTGATGCTACCATGCAGTTTCACATGGGTTCCCACCTTTTCTTTTAGGCTGCCAAGAGATTGCAGAAGAGTTTCGTTCCCAGGAGATTGATGGACAGGCCCTTTTATTACTTAAAGAAGAACATCTTATGAGTGCCATGAACATCAAATTAGGTCCTGCTCTCAAGATTTGTGCCAAGATCAATGTCCTCAAGGAGACCTAAGTGACCCTCCGCACACCTCAGCCTAAGGCAGATGCCCAACTGTTGTGATTATAGCTTGGGAAGAGCTGTTCCTTGTGTGACCTGTGGGGTTTGGAGGCACAACTGCAAGGATTGGTTGCTGGTGCTACATGGTGGCAGCTTTGACTCTCTGGGTTTCACTTAAAACAACAAAAACCTCACTATTCACACCTGCCCTAATCCAGTTTTTAAGCAGGCAGACTAGAGACTAACTGCTCAGCCTTACCCTGGAGTGGAGTGGACTAGCCAGGGTCTCACTTCCCCAAGGAGGCATGTCTTGTATGGTAAGGCAAGGGAATGGGTGAAATGCAGGCTTGCCTCCCCAGTGGGAGAGCTCAGCTTTCCTAGCTTATGACATGAGTACTAAACCTGGCACTCTCCTGGAGTCTCCTTGTGGCTGTAACTCAGTTTTTCTTTTGTCATTTTCTCCCTTAATACTCCTGAATATTTCTTCTGCATCCATGGCAGGGTCACCAGCCATTGTAGACACTTGGTTGGTATCTGATTTGCTGCAGGGACGAAAAGTGTTTGGCACATGTGTGGCTGTTGTCATTCTTCCTGCACCCCCGCTCCCAACTGTTACCATCTTCAACGCTTTCTTTTCCATTCCAACTCCGCTCTGTCCTATAGCTTTACAAAACAGGAGTGTGTGGGGCTGAGGTCAGGATTGTAAGCACCTGCCTTAGGCACTATTCCTTATACAAAATATTAAATATTTTTTTTCCTTAGTAAAAGGATGAAAATTGGTCTTCATTGTCTTACTGCATTGCACTGTTTTCCCCTTAAATGACAAAGCCAGCATGTTTTTTTATGTTTTTTAATTATTGTGTTTTTGTACAAAAGTGGTATATCATTTTTTCATTTAAAACACAGGGGTTAGGATGCAAACAACAAATGAGAAGCTTTTTTAAAAAATAACATTATTTTTCCTGTAAGAAAGAAAACAAAATTTCCACTGCCATTGCAAGGGTATTGAGGAGTAGGAATGACATCATTTTTTCTAAAGGTAACAAATGGCCCTGCCTTTTCCACATCTCCTGTGTTCAGATGAACTGTGCTGTTGCTTAGTGGCCTAGGAGTTCACTGTTATAGAAAGATCAGCCTGTGATTCTGGGCACATGGCCTAAAGAGAAAGAGAGAGGATTAAAAACCTTTTCCCATAGATAAGTGGGACAGACACTTCCCTGAGCCAGCAGGAGGGACAGGTGCAGCAGTGTCCCCACCCACAGCAGAGACCTGCAGAGCCTCCATGTCCACTTCTGCTTCCATTCCCTTCCTTTAAGATTGGGGAAAGTATAAAAAGCCGAACTATAGACCTGTGAGAAAAAGTGCAACTCAGGTTGACAAGTACTGGTGGAGGGAGACGAGGAAGAACAAGGCTGGCCAGCAAGACTACCACAAGGTGACACAGGCTCTGCTTACTTTAAAAAAGGACTACCTGATTAGGCATTTGGGTTACCTATGGATTTATAACCATAGCCCAGGGCCCAATTCAAACTATCAAGCCACTCAAAGACCTATAAACAACCTGATGGCACCTTAGAATCCTATAGTTGGGAAATTCCATATTTTTTTCCCTGTCCTAATCCCACACAAGGGACAATCAGGTGACTGACCCCAGGCTCAAAGCAAATAGAAGTATTTGGGTTACAGCCAGGCAAGCACTGCAGAGCAACTCTGAGTTACACTCAAATCCTCACAAGACTACTGCAGGGACAGGAACAGCATGAAGTGACCAAAGGTATAAGTACTCTTTGCTTTTTTAATTAGAGAATCCAGTGTCTCAACTTATGAAAATGTTTACAGCCAGGGCTCATGGCTTTCTGCCTATGTAGCTGTCCTTGCTCTTCCTGGGGCGCAGGAATCTGTCCCACAGGCCCTGTGTCTGTCTACCTTCCACTGTACTTGTGCAGAGGAAAAACAATAGGAGCAAAGGGAGGCAGCTTACGGTCAAATCAAAAGCTAACTGGAAAGCAAGACTATTAACGGCGAGGTGAGAGTCGGGAGAGACGGCTTGAGAAATCTGGCTGAGTATGCTTTGGTTTGGGGACTGAAGAGGCGGCTAGACATTAAAAGTGCAATCACATTGGTAGCAAATGATCATCCCTTTCTTCTGACTCTTCCCCCAGCTGGTCATCCCCAACTCCACGATAGGCCGCAGGCACATTTCGGGGTTTGGAACGGCACACAAAGTCACAACCATCCTGGAGGGTAAAAACAAAGGAAAGATAATCTTGATTATCTATTTTAGAGTGAAACAAATGATACAGTTTCAAACTGACAATGGGGTGGGGGGATGGGGTGTGTTCTTCCAGAGAACACCCAAAATCCAAGGCTTAGCCCCAATTAACTTTGCTACTTACAGCTACTAGGTTGCCAAGATCCTGCCAGAAGGCCAGATGAGGAAACTGCTCCATTCCCTTGGCCCCCACTACCAGTCGCTGGTATAAGAAGCCCCCAATGATATAAACAGCAACCAATGATGCAAATCTAGACAGGGAGACACACACTTTAAGGAACCCTGAGTGGTACCATACTCCTCTAATAGCATCGAGAAGGCTAAGGCTAGACTGTATATTCAGTTTTAGCTGTTTCCTAAGCTATACTCTATAAAAACAAACAAAAAGGGTTGGTAGCTTGGGAGTGCTGTCAAACACCCGGAAGAGGGGGCGGGTACTTAGTAAGTGATTCACATAGCCTTGGATCACTGGTAAACAGGACTATTCTCCACACAAGTTTTACGGATGTAATACAGTACTGAGAAGTATCCAGCCTTCCAGAGAAGCGCAACCGTTGGGTACAGTGGTGAATGCCTTTAGTCCCAGCACTTGGGAGGCAGAGGCCAGCCAGAGCTACACAGGAAGACACTGTCTACATAAACCAACCAATCTCCAGATGCAAATCATTTATTGGGACTAAACCATTCATTTTTAAGAAGCCAGGTCTGGTCAGGTACATCTTTAATACCAGCTCATGGAAGACAGAGATTCTCTTCAGTTTGAGTTAGCTACAAGTAAGACTGTCTTCAAAAATGTTTTCTATGTTTTACTACTGCCAGGGGTTGAACACAGGACCTCATGCATACTGATCAAGCACTCCGCCACCAAGCTACACTCCCCAGCTTAATTTCTTTGAATGTATAGTCCATCAGTGAGTCATCACTAATTTTGTATATGTAAACACACGCAAGCTACTGAGAGGGTGCAAAGTACTCACATGACAAGTAAGATCGAGCCCACACTGAGGTGCGAGACCTCTGGTGAACAGGCTAAGCTGCTATCCATCTCAAAGAGGTAGAAGCAATCGTGGACTTTGCCTCGTTCCTCAGACACTGGGTTAAAATTATCCTGATGATGAGAGGACCAAACAGTAATTATGTATGTCTTTCAACTTGCACCTAATAAGACTGCCTCCCAATAAATACATAAACCCCAAACATTTGCTGCTCCTGGTTTCAGGATGTTCCAGGACACCTTACCGCTAGTGTGTGCCGATTGCAGGAGATCATCACCACTGCACGACGCTGCTCTTTGCCACAGTGGTTGTCATATTCGTCACCCCCTTTATATATCAGCATGATCCAATTACCTGAGGAAGGACAAGAACAATGGCACTATGGAGTGTAGGGGAAGCAGAGGCAACAGTGGGTAGCATGGCCGAGTGGAATAAGTGGAACTGTTTTTAGTTAATCAATCCTATCTGTATATCTGAATGCTAAGGCAAAATCTTTTTTAAAAGACAAGAGTTTTGCTATGTAGCTCTGGCAGGCCTTAATTCACTAATTATGTAGACTAGGCTGGCCTCCAACTTGTGATCTTCCTGTCTCCTTACCTGGCCTTAAAACTTGTTTCTTGAGAAGTTTTTGTTCCCTTGTTTTAAAAGAGCAATAACCACATATGTAAGATTCATCTTATTTTTTTATATTAAAGGTAGGCAACAGATTATGTAAAGACAGTTTCTATCCAAGCTTTTAACACTGATGTACATTTTCTCAACACAATGCAAAAGGAGAGGAGATTCCATAAGATTGCCAGGCAGCAGGGAGATGTCCAAGTATTTATTTACTATGTTTAAAGTTTTTTTTGTAAAATACTGCTTGACTGACAATCAAGTAAGGATTTTTTCAACTTTGCATATGAGAAAACAGGGTTTTAAAATTAGTGAGCTGGTGTCTTAAAACCATCTGTGGTGGTCTGAATAAGAATGGCCTCCATAGGCTCATATATTTGACTGGTTAAGACACTAGAGAGTGGAACTGTTTGAAAGGATTGTAAAGATAGGAGGTGTGGCCTTTTGGAGGAAGTGTGTCACTGGGGGTGGGCTTTGAGGTTTCAAAAGCCCATGCCAGGCCCAGAGTCTTTCCCTATGTTTTTACCTAGATCAGGATGTAGAACTCCCAGCTACTTCTCCAGCACCATGTGTACTGCCATGCTCCTCTCTGTGGTGATAGTGACTAACCTCTGAAAATGGAAGCCTCCAATTAAATGCTTTCTTAAACAGTTGCCTTGGTCATGGTGTTTGTTTACAGCAAGAGAACAGTGACTAAAACACCATTGCACTAGGAGAGTTGGGTCAAGAATTTGTTTTATTCTTTACATAATGAATATCTACACTGGATAATTTATCTGCTTATGGGAAGAAATTAGAGCACAGGTGCTCTCTCCAGCATACTTTCACGATATCTGAAAAATACAGCTGTTAGTACAAGTAGTAGGATTTTTTTCCCCTTAAATAGACTTACTGGTTTGCACACACAAAAAAAGTTATCTTAAAATTTAATATTGGTTATTGATGAAAAATGGTGGTGGCTGGTATGGAACTGATTAAGTATTTGGGTGACTAGAAGGGACTCCAAGCTATGTAAAATTCTGGCTAGATTCAGAGTCACTATCATTTAGTCACTCATATTCACATTTGCTTTTTCCATCCCTTTTTCTGACTTCCTTTTTTGTGGTATTAAGGGTCAAAGTGAGAACTTTGTGCATGTGGGCAAATGCTCTACCTTGAACTGTATCCCCAGTCTTAGTCTCTTTGTGAATGTTTTGCACTGTCTTCAGACAGAGGTGTCCTGAGCAGCTCTGGAACTAAACACTGTGAGTTACAGTCTAGACCAATTCCATATAACACAACATACTCGGAAAGCTGGAGAAGGCCAACACATACGGGTCTATTGGAGGACTGACTTGGGATTAGTCAGCAGGAAATATCTTACTTCCATTGAAGATGTGAGTCTCGTTGATTCTCCCGACCACCGTCTCCTTCTCATTACTCTTGTTGATCTGGACCAGACCGGCACCAGAGGAGTGGTTGCCAGCTTCCCGGCATACTCTGAATATGTAGCTGTATGTGTCTGAGCCCTGGCCCACAGTACTCTCAAAACTATAGAAGACGAGTAGGAAGAGAAAGAACAATATTACTTGTTACCATGCTCAGGAGAAATAGACCCCCCCCCCCATCAAAGGCATAACATCTGTTGAATTATGAGTTATTTGTGGCCCCACAGACCGTCCTACTTGTTGATAATAAGTTCAAACATACCATCCAAGATAGGAATACATTCTAGAATACCCATTCTATATATGTAAAAGTGTTAGCTGTTTCCCCACAGCAAGGGTCTGTCTGTTTTCATGGGACAGTCCCATGTTTAAGGATGATTTTCATGTTTATCTGAAGATTCCCTGACAGATCCAGACATACTTAGACATGCGTATGTTTAAATGTGCCTGTTTATGATTCTAAAGTCTTCTTATACGAAGCTATCAGGTAATGTTCTGATTTCTAAAAGCTGGTGTTTTAGACCCAGTCTTTAGAAACGGATACTTTTCTGTCAAAGAGAAGAAAACCATACACGCTAACATGGCTGTGAACTTGTCATTAAAGAGGGGAAGGTATTACAGCCAAATAAAACTAGTAATTGCTAAAGTTCACATTAGAACCTGAATCATTCACGCACCCCTTCCACAGAAAAGCTGAAGTAAACTCATTAAAGAGAAAAGACCCTTAATAAAGATAGTTTCTTCCCTCTCAGGTTCTTCTCTACCTTTTGTTAAACAGGGGCCGTAACCTCTCCAGGAGAGCCACCTCATTCTTTGACTCCTTATCCTTTTCTCCTACCAGGTCACAAGATTTTTCTTCTATCTGCCAGGATTCTCTCACAGCCACAGCCAGGAGTAGCAACAATAACAGCTCAGTCCTCCAGCAGCCAGAGAAGGGGAACATCCTTTTGGAAGAGTGTGTTGGGGGTGAAGGCAGGATCATGAGAGAAAGAAAATAGATTAGTCACACGACTGCAGAAAGTAATGCTATTTTGATTATGCAAAAAGCCTGACTGCTTCAAAACAAATGGGGGCTCAGTGTAGAGTCAAATATCTTTAATCTCTATGCCCAGAGGCAGATGTACCTCTGTGAGTTTGAGGCCATCGAGAGATGCTTGGTGAGATACCCTGTCTCAGAGACCTCTAAAAACCAAAAACCCAGCAAAACAAATGGGAGGTGGAGGTGGGGGTAAGAGGAAGAAAATAATTATAATAGCCAGGGTGCACCCATCTTTGCCTTGTTACTGTTTGATAAAAAATTATGTTGTATTATCCTGTTTTTCAAAGTCAAATACTAGTTTATAAATAAAGCCTAAGTCAGTGGCCTTCCCTGGAACACCCCAATCATGACTCACACAGATCTTCAACTATGTCTAGCTTGAAGTTATTATGAAAGATGTAGAGAGAGAAGCTTGACTATTGGGCCCTAACACATCAGTAGGGAGCATGCAACAATCTTTCTTCACATTCGATGGGAACATGTGGAGCATGGGTGAAGCAGACATAGTACCTAAACTCAGCTCACTCACTCCTGTGCCATTTCTCTGAAAAACCACCTAAGTACAGTATTCTAACAACTATGGCCCATGGGACACATATATCCCCAGACATCTGTGAATGCAGCCCAACATATTCGTGGATGACAATGTCCTATTTTGATGATGAAAAGTTGGCTACTTTTGTAGTTAGGCCATGGTGATTGATGCTTACACAAGGCTTCTGTTAGTAACCCTTCAGGCCATTGACATTGTTAATTTTATAATTGTTTCACTGTTTGTTTGTTTGTTTTTGATAGTTAACTCTTCCAGACATTCTCCACAAGAAAGTGAAAGCTCTAACCCTGTGCTCTAAATTCATTTCCCTTTCTCCCTGAAAGGTACATCTGAGTTTCTATTTCCCACATGCAGGGAGGGCAACACACTTACCCATACCCCACACATCAACTCACTAATGCAAACAAGGCATTTCCACACAGTAATCACACGTAGCCGAGAGGTCAAAGGCACTCCTAACACATCTCAAATACGACACGACAGGACATATTTAGTAGAGTGACAGCCTTCAGCCAGGCACTACCTGAAATACTAACATACATTAGTCAACCCTCCCCAAACTTTATGTATTAAACTTAACTGTCTCTATTTCACAAATAAAAACCACAGGACAAACAGAACAAATACCACCAAGACAGCTAATGGAATAAGCAAGACAGATGGCTCCAGAGCCATGTATCCAGTAGGGAGCCAAAGCAGAGCTGCCTGTCTTCTTTTTAAAACAGAGCAGGGAGGGGAAGTAGCTTCCTCACAGTTAACTGTAGCGTAACAAAGAGCCCAGATTTAAGCTCTCCCATTCCCTGAGCTCAGCTATTGCTCAATCAGTCAACTCACCTAGGGCTCCTTTGTTAACCTACTCGTGGCATTTTCCTTGTCAAGTTCCCTCAGGATTTAATTTAAAATGTTAACATTCTGGGCTCTGAAGTGCTTGCTCCCCAGGACATATTCTGGAGGGATGCTCTCACAGAATGAATGCTGTACACTTTGGCCTCAAAGTTATTTCCTCATTTGTTAACTGTTGCTGCTTTCTCTTCCCAAATTAGGGCAAAGAATTTCACAAAATTGGGACAGGATGAAGAATTAAAACAAGCCATGGTAGGCACCAGATGAGCGGAATTGCTTGTCACTTGCTTATCTGTTCAAAAAGTTAGAAGAATAATTTTAAACTCTTCTCCGCTTAAGATCTGCCCGTAAGTTTGAGCTGCTTCTCTCTGATTCAGTGTGGTGTATGCTTTAAATGCAATACTTGCGTTATATTACACAGCCTAGACAAGATGAGGGTCTGACACTTAGAGTTGCCTACTGACTTACATGTCCGAGGTTACACAAATATTAAATGGGTGAAGTTGCTGGATCAACCAGGACGACTTAGGAATGACATGAAGGCACCTGTGGGCAAACTTCTGATAAACACTGCCACAAATAGAGAGCAGTATGAAACTGAAGTGTTTTTTTTTTTTTTTTTTTTTTTTTTTTCCGAGACGGGGTTTCTCTGTGTAGCCCTGGCTGTCCTGGAACTCACTCTGTAGACCAGGCTAGCCTGGAACTCTCAAACTCAGGAATCCGCCTGCCTCTGCCTCCCAAGTGGAAACTGAAGCTTTTTAATATGGTCTAAAGAGATCCTCAGAGTGCAAGCACTTGTCTCGATGTTATAAAACAGGATCTTATGCTCTAGAAAATTCCCCTTCGATTTTCTTATTCTATAGAGACAAATCTATTGGCAGTGCTGAAACATTCTTTACAGGGCAGCCAATGACTAAGTTAGGGGTTGGGAAACTGCTGACCTCACTCAGCCTTGCACGCACTTTCCCACTCATGGCCGTTTTCCATTTTCTAATGGAAGGCTTTATTTTCTTCCTCCTGGTTCATTGCAGCCAACACTTTTAAGATCAGTCTCAACTGGCAGGATGTTTAAAGTGTCTCAAGGAGGTAGTTCTATGCTTCAAAGTCTCCACAGAAACACAAGATATTCCTGTTACTTTTTTCCACACCACGCTAACAGATCTTCCTCGAACTTCGTCCAGGATTCTGGAAATTGTCGCCTTTCATCTGCTCAAAGTCATACCTTACCCAAATGACGCCATGACGCCACTTTTCTCCCATGATACAGGTCAAAATTCTCTCTACAAGCATCCAGTAACACTTCACACATGGGCACTTTCTTTTTCCCACCTTCAAAACATCTTAAATCTCTCTCTGATCTTGGAACTCCTCTTCCTCACTCCTAGAAGCCTGACGTTCTCCGTTCTCATGTCTTTTGCCTCCAGTCCATCCTAGGGCTCCCTAGCAGGATCTCCGGCTACAACTACGGCCAAGCGAGGTCCGCATCTCCTTTAGTGCAGAGGTGTGCAAGGACCCCAGCCCACTTCCTCCACGCCCCCAACACTCACGTGTCACGGGAAAACAGAGCAACCGAAGCTCAGAAGCCCGCAAGAATGTGTCTTTGGGGTTGGGAGACGCGGCCGGAGATCAGGGGTGCGGGGGCGCAGACCCCAGTCCCTCGAGTCCTCCCTGAAGCCAGCGCTCCCCTAGGCGCCGCGATGCGCCCCGCTCCAGAAGCCGGAAACAGGAAGCAGCGAGAGCCTGCTGAGCAACTGCTCCTCCCACTAGACTCCGCGGCATGTGACCACAGAACCTTCGCTCCCTGGTCTTTCTTCTGAACTCTGATTGGTCAGCAGCCTAGTTCGCTGTTCCCCGGTCCCATCAACCCCAATCACTCCGAGATTGTCAAGATCAGTTTCTTCTTTTCGCATCGCCTTTCTACCAATGAGGTTCGAGCTCCGCCTCCAGGGACTCTGGGCGGGCGCTCCCCATTCACGCGGGGGTCATGCGCCAGGTGTCCCGATAGGTCTGGTTGAAGACAGTAAGTGAGGCGAATTGTGGAATTATGGAATGTAGCTCCATGGGCTTGCTGGGAGTTGTAGTTCCCTCGCCCGGAGCTCTCTGGGAGTTGTAGTTTCTAGGACTCGTCTGCTACCATGGTAGCCTCTGTGTGGCGCTGTCTAGCCATCGGTCGGCTGGGATAGCTTCTGGTTTGCAGTTGACTCTGCCACCCAGACGGTGGAACGTTAGAGTCCTGCATTTCTTGATTTTCTTTGTTCAGAATTTTGTAATTCAGGACATAATTATTGTTACTGTTATTTCTGCAATGATTTTGACCTCTTGTGGCATCTTGCTAGATAAACATACATTGTTTATCAAAGGTGCCTGTCCTGTGTGTGCCTATCCTCTAGCCTGCACTTCTGTTTGGGGGGCTGTGGTGTCTTTGTGCCTTTGGTAAGGTCATTTGAAGGCTGCTTGGATTTATTATCCGCTATCTCAAGCCCTAGTTGTTCTTAGAACTTGGTTTGAAACTAGTACGGCTTCCTGGAATCGCTCTCCAGGCTACTCATTTCTTCCTCTCAAGTTTCTTTTGGCTTTAGCTGGTCATGCCCTTTTGACTCTCACATGCTTTTGTATGCAACTCCCTCACTCTGCTTAAACAGGGATTCATGTCAGAGGTTGTATTGTGTTTGAAAGTGCTAACACCGTAGTGTCCTATACTTTTTTTAAAAAGTTAACTTAGAAGTTTTAATACATTTTAATGAAAATACAATTACTTCCCTTTCTTCTGTTCCTTTCCTTCTTCCGGTTCTTCCAAAGACCAGGTCACCTAGCTCTTTCCAGGGCCCCCACTCCAATTGATAGCCTTGTTTACTTTGTTATTTTACATAAATTTGCATAAATACACTACAACCTGCTGAATCTGTTTTTATGTTTGTATGTATATGATTTCAAGGATGATCACTTTGTATGGGATAGCTACTTAGTGGGCTCATACCGGGAAGAGGTTAATTCTTCCTCTCTCGGAAGCTATAAATTGCCTGTAGTTCTTTGTTTAGGGGTAGGAGTATGGGAGACTCCTCCCCTTCTCTGCTAGCGTCTTGATATCACCATTGTTTATATTTTGTTTATGTGACCATTTCTATGATAGAATGTTTCACACCAGACTTCCTGGTATTCCAGATCTTATGGTTTTTCCAGTCCCCCTCGTTTTTATGTTGCCTGAATGAATGATAGACGCAGGAGCTGTGATGTAAGAGGTATCCATTGTGGCCGGGCCCCTTACCACCTGCTGATCTCTGCACTGTGTCCTGTCATGATTTTCTGTGATGGTCTGTAGTGAGAATTTTGGAATTTTGGTTTCTTTAAAACACACACACACACACACACACACACACACACACACACACACAGAGAGAGAGAGAGAGAGAGAGAGAGAGAGAGAGAGAGAGAGAGAGAGAGGAGTGAGAGGATTATAAGAACATATTTTCATTTTAATTCCAGATGTGGTTTTTGGGCTGCTTCAGATTGTCCATAGCAGCTGACTATGATTTGCCTTGTGCTCTAGCAGGGGCGTGATTTTTGCCAGCTGCAGATAGTTTCTGTGGTGATATTTGGAATTCTGAGAACTTTTCAGAGGGCATATGAAGGGAGGCAGGGTTAGTTGTTGGTTGGTTGTTGGTCATTTTCGGGGAGGGGGGGTTAGTTGCAGTTTGTTAGTAGTTGTGCTCAAAGAAGAAACAAGAAGAAGGGAAATTAGGTTTCAGAGATCTCTTTACTTTTGTCTCTCCCCTCTATCCTTTTTTTCTCCTATGTTAGGAGGTGGAAGGAGTTGAAGAGAGGTGCAGAAGGGTGGAGGAAAGAAGAACCCACAAAGTCACAAAGACCAGCTACAGTGGTCTCCATTTGCTGTAAACAAAAGCTTATTTGATGTATGGTGAGGCCACTTATCTGTGGTTATAAGGATATGATTTAGAATGTAGTTAGGAATTATGCTGACCTTGGAAAGTGGTAGTAAATTTTTATTCTAAGGTCCTACCAGCCCTGGGAAGTTAGATTTCTAGTACCTGGTATAATTTCCCTCCTGTTGAGTAGACCTTAAGTCCAACTAGAGAGCTGTTGGTTACCACCAACATATGAGGGACATTTACTGTACCTTTATGGGTTTCTTGCTATGTTGGCTGTTGTGATTCATAGGTATCACGGCTGGGTCGGACTATTAACTGCCCCTTCCCCTGGCACCTTGTATAGTATTTTCTGGTTCCATGGCAGCTATAATGCAGGGACGAGGCTTTCAGGTTAACCTAGCTCGTGTAGTCTGAGCCCTGTATCCTAAGTGTGTTGTGTCTTCAGCAAGAGGAGCTTACCTTTGACCTCTGAGGGGCACCAAGGGCAACAGCCATAGTCGATATTGTTTTGAGAGTCAGTTGGACTCCCCCAACCAACCACTGAGAGACATTTCGTGCTTTCCACTGGGGAAGTTTGTTAGTCTGTGGTTCTTGTGGGAAGCATGGTCAGCCCAAGTGGCATAACTTTTATATATGTAATGTGATATATGTGTATGTATATATACATAACATATATACATATATGTGTATGCATTATGTATAATTTTAGGTAAAATATTAAATAGTAAGATTACACGAGGATTTATAAAAAAACCCCTTTGTGTTATTTGTCCCTTCTGTCTCCTTCTGTGCTGACCTCCTCCCCTCTGCTCAGTGGAAACTTTTCCATTTCTCACGTCACATCACCTGTATCCTACTATTCCAGTCTTTTTTTTTTTTTGAAACATGGTTTCTCTGTGTAGCCCTGGCTGTCCTGGAACTCACTCTGTAGACCAGGCTGGCCTCGAACTCAGAAATCCGCCTCTGACTCCCAAGTGCTGGGATTAAAGGCGTGCGCCACCGCTGCCCTGTGCTATTCCAGTCTTAAGTGGAATAGCTATCCATCTATCACATGGCCCTGGATTCTGCTGTTTGCCACACATATGCTCACACTTGAGGATCTGGAGCTAGGAACCACAGATGAAAGAGGAATGCAGCATTTGCCTTTCTGAGTCTGTGTTACCTCACTCAATGTAATCTTTTTTTCTAGATCTATCCATTTTCCTTGAACTTTCTGCGTCTGCTTTTCTTTACGGTTGAGTGGTAGTCTGTAGCGTACATGTACCACATCGCCGTTAGCCATTCTTCCGTCGAAGGACATTCAGGTTGTTTCCATTTCCTAGCTGTTGTGAACAGAGTTGACATGGGCGAGCAAGGATCTGTGGAGGAGGATACTGAGCCATTTGGATGTGTGCCAAGGAGTGGTATAGCTGGGCCATGTGGTTTGGTTGTTGGTTTGTTCGTTTATTTATTGAAATACGTATATGTGTAGACATTGTATAGATCTGGTTGGCCTGAACCTCACTATGTAGACCAGGCTGTCCTTGAAATCATAGAATTCCACTTGCCTCTGCTTCCCCACCACACTTTTTAAAAAATTACTTACAGGATTCTTCATTTAAACCCTCACTCCAACCTTATGAGGAAGCATCTGTTTTACAGATGCATAAATTAAGCCAGATATATCAGACATAAAACCATGCCAGAAGTTTGGTAAGGTAGAGCAGGTTGAGACCCGGAAACTCGGTGGGCACACACCTGAGACTTAGGCAACTCCCTCCTCCCTGACAGACTCCTGGCCTGGAACACGTGCCATGCTCCTCACATAAAAGAAACGTGTCTATGGTCATGTAGGCTCAAAGCAGAGTTCTCCTTGCTACTGAGGTACTTAGAGGCCCAGAGGACTTAGTCAATAAGCTTCCCTTCCCAGACATTCCTCCCCACAAAAGGTATTTAATCTCAGATCCACCCTGAGAAGTGGGTACAGTATAGTATGCATCCATTTTCCACCGTGAACAGTCAATAAACTGTGTATAACCACTGTCTCTTTCATCAAGATCCACCATGGGGTGATATGGAGAAGGCATTCGCCTACAGAGCAAGAGCTTTATCTCCTGTGGAAGGCCTCTCTGTGCTCCCAGCCACCACCACCACATCCCTGGGCCAAGCTAAGGATAATCACTGCTGGGACAAGCCAGAGCTCCCCTTTCCCTCTGGCCCGGGGCTAGACACTGTCCCTAGCCCACGGGCTCTTAATTCCATTCTTGGCTCTTCTGTGACTCCCAGAGACGCCTGGAGGTCTAAGAGCCTGAGAACCCTACGGTCCCAGCCTCATCTCAGGCTCTGGGACCCCCAAACCAGCTCCAGCTTTCCCACATCTTAGATTGTGCTTTCCCACCCCCAGAGCGGTGTCTCCGTGTTTCCCTGTAGCCCAGCACCTGCCCCGTGGCAGCATGGGATAAATGCAGTCAAACTCCCTGAGTTCCAGCTCCCCAAGCGGCTGTGCCTAACAGCAGAGCATATGTGGACTGACATAGATAGAAGTAAGTGTACAGATGTGCATTTGTATGTATCAGTATTTACTGTTGTTTATGTGGTTAAAGTGTTTTTGTTCATTCCTGTTTTTAGACAGGATCTTGGTAAGTAGCCCAGGGGAGCTGGGAGTTTGAGATCTTCCTTCCTTTCCCTCTTGAATACAGAGATTATAGGTATGCATCTCAGAGTTGGCTCACATTATTAATTGAAACATTCATTTTAGGCTTGGTAGATTTATGGGATGGGTATTGAATATTTACTTTCTCAGGGGAGGATAGATTAAGTGGAAAAAAAGCCCTGAATTTTGTAATGATTAAAAATAGTTTAATATTGGAAAATAGAACAAAC